GGGGCATGATTACAACATAAATATTTGGTGTATATTTGGGAATTATTTTGAAAGTTGATTTTGTCAAGTATTATTGGAGGTTGAGTGATAAACATGGGGAGTTTTACTTCTTATTTGTACTGTTAGCTGACTCCTGCAACCTGTTTCCTTTTGCCATATAATTGTAGAATGACTTAGACACGTGAAATAGAGAATCTTCATTCTTCATTATACTACGTGTTGTTGGTAGTGCAGTGGAGCCTAGATTCATATCAGGAGAATTATCTTGTCTCCTTTTATGGGGCAAATTGAAGTTTCAGACCCGATCATCCCAAATTTCTTGGTATTTATGTTGTGCTTCGAAAGCTCAAGATGCCGAGGTATTGACAGCAGTGCTTATATTCAGTGTGGCTATAAAAATTGTCAAGAGCAGACAAGTGTGTTTTATAGGAGGTTCCTTTGACTTTTGGATGATGTGATGTATACCATAATGTCTCCCTGAAGTGATCTCTTTGAGCGAATCTTTTGGCAACCAACCTTGCCTTGTAATTCTTAGAGAGTTCTTAAAAGACCCTTTTTAAGCATATGACTTCGGCTTCACTATGCATCTCTATAGGCTTCCGAACATTACTGTTATATCATAATTTAGAAGTTATATCATAATTTAGAATTTAAAATTCTCATTTTTCATTACCTGAGCAAATTTTAATGGGTCATCTTCGACACTTGTATCTCGGATAGGTTTTTCAAGGCACATCATGTAGTTCTATTTTAGGTAATAGTTTCTTGCTTTACTTGATCTTCCTAATTCGACACCTATCATGATTCATGGAGGTTGAGAATACTCAACAGTAGTGTCTCCTCTTACATGTTGAGGTGGTTTTTAATGTGTGACAGGTTCACTAATGTCAAGATGATGCCCAAGCGCTCCTAAAAAAGTTTTGGCGGGAGGGGGGATGGTATTCAACTCTTTTTAAAATTATAAAAATCACCTCAAAGGTAAAATATAAAATATCTATGTTCTGTTAATGGCTTTGTAGCTTAGTAGCATATAAGCTTCTTTATGAATAGAAAATTGTGGGTTTGATCTTGCTCATAATTTTAAGCCGTTAATGATTGCTTTTCTAATTTGAAAAACCAAAGGATCTATATTCTTTGCATTTGATATCTTCTACGCTGCGTTGTTTTTTAAATAGAAATGTCTTCTTTGCTACGTTTTTCTGCACGCAGGTGGTTTATTTTAAAATTATTCGCCTTTAATTGTTGTCCAAGGAAAATGGTTCCCCTCCAAAATTAATGCTTTAAATTTTAAATTTCAATGTATTCTTGATGTTGTATTTATTTAATATTTAATGTTAACTTTTGAGTTTTTCAGTAATAATATCTGTATTTTTTAGCCAAAAATATCTAATACGTTAAAACATGATTTATGTTAAGCAGGATAGTTATTTTTTTCAAAAAATTTTGTGCAGGCGGTTTGTTTTTTTTTTACCAACATATAAGCGGTGATTAAATCAATAATTTTTATTTGGAGACAATTAATCTCATTCCAATTCACCGAAAAAAGATACAACAACAACAACAACAACAAGCCTTTATCCCACTAGGTGGGGTCGGCTACATGGATTGCAAGACGCCATTGTGCTCTATCATTTATTAAGCTTTTAAAAATATTATTAATTAAGAGATCACGTTCAACAACTTCCAAGAGTGTTCTCTTAGACCTTCCTCTACCTCTCTTAATCGGACTCAAAGTTATATGTTCCACTCTTCTCACTGGTGCCTCCCTTGGTCTTCTTTGTACATGCCCAAACCATCTCAACCGATTTTCTACCATTTTTTCCTCAATAGGTGCCACCCTCACTTTTTCATGTATGTGCTCATTTCGAATTTTATCTTTACGTGTATGTCCGCACATCCATCGTAACATTCTCATCTCTGCTACTCCAACTTTATGCTCTTGCTGTCCCGTTAGAGCCCAGCATTCACTACTATATAACATTGCCGGTCTGATAGCAGTACGATAAAACTTTCCTTTAAGTTTATTAGGCACCTTACGGTCACAAATAACTCCTTTAGCTTTTCTCCAATTAAACCACCCAGCTTGAATTCTATGTGAAATATCTCCACTGATTTCGCCATCATTTTGGATAATGGCTCCCAAATATCTAAACTTTTTCACTTGAGGTATAATTTGATCTCTCAATTTCACTTCCAAATTATTTTCAAATAGTCCTTTATCAAATTTACAATATAAATATTCCGTCTTACTTCTACTCAGACGAAAACCTTTCGACTCCAATGTCCTCCTCCATAACTCAAGTTTGCAATTAACCTCTTCTCTTGTCTCTGCTATAAGAACTATATCATCCGCGAAGAGCATACATTTCGGAATTTCCTCTTGAATATGTTCCGTCAAAACATTTAAAATCAAGTTGAACAAATAAGGACTCAGAGATGATCCCTGATGTAGCCCAATCTTTATAGGAAAATCCTTTGTTTGACCACTAGGCGTTCTTATACTAGTTTTTACCCTCTCATACATATCTTGTATGGCTTTAATATAAGCAATCCGTACTCTCTTTTTTTCCAACGCTTTCCAAAGCACTTCTCTTGGTATACGGTCATAAGCTTTTTCCAAATCAATAAAAACCATGTGTAGATCTTTATCTTTACAACGATACTTTTCCATTAATCCCCTTAGTAGATAAATCGCCTCTGTAGTTGATCTACCTGGCATAAAACCAAATTGATTCTCAGAAATACTTGTCTCCAATCTCAACCTGTGCTCAATTACTTTCTCCCACAATTTCATTGTGTGGCTCATGAGTTTAATCCCTCTATAGTTAGTACAATTCTGAATATCTCCTTTATTTTTATAAATAGGAATTAATGTACTTCTCCTCCACTCATCAGGCATTTTCTTGGACCGTAAAATCACATTAAAAAACTTAGTTAACCATCTCACCCCTTTTTCACCTAAACATTTCCACGCTTCGATAGATATACAATCAGGTCCGTTAGCTCTACCATTTGCCATTTTCTTAAGAGCTTCCTTTACCTCCTTATCACGTATTTTTCGATAGAATGACAAATTTTGTTCTCCTTCACCAGTTACTAAATCCTCCAAGTTACTAGATGAATCCTCTCCATCATTGAAAAGTTTAGAAAAATAAGTCTCCCATCTATTTTTAATTTCATCATCTGTAACCAGTGTTTTTAGAACCGGACCGGACATTGAACCGGAAAAGTCAGCGGTTCACGGTTCGCATGGTTCAACCGGTTGGACCAATGGTCCAACCGGTGACGTAATAATTAAATTAAAAAAAATTATATATGTATATAATAATTTAAATATAAGAAATACATATGAAATTGCTATTTAACTTAAAAAACTTAAATATTTTAAGTTTATCACGACTTAACAAGCTATATGATACACTATAATATCAAATGATTAAAAAAATTAGTCATTTTTTTAAAAAAATTTGATAAAAAATAAAAAAAAGTTTTTTTTTTAACAGTCCGGTTTTTGAAAATCGGATCCGGTTCCCGGTCCGACAGCCGGTTCCCGGTCCGACCGCCGGTTCGAAACGGCTCAACCCGGCCCAACTCTGAAAACGATTTTTTCCTTTGAACCAGACCGGAAACCAGACCGGTCGACGGTCCGACCGGTCCGACCGGCCGGTCCGGTCCGGTTTTCAAAACAGTGTCTGTAACTAAAATTCTTCCCTCTTCATCCTTAATACACCTTACCTGTTCTAGATCTCTTGATTTTCTTTCCCTACTCTTGGCAATCTTATAAATATTTTGCTCTCCTTCCTTCGTCTCAAGGTTCTTATAAAATTCTTCAAAAGCTTTAGAACGAGCTTCACCCACAGCTCTCTTAGTTTCCTTCTTAGCCATACGGTACCTCTCCCAATTTTCCTCATTGTTACACAAATGTATGACTTTAAAACAGTTCTTCTTATACTTGATTTTGTCCTGTACACTATTATTCCACCACCAAGACTCCTTATCTCTCGGACCAGAACCTTTCGATTCTCCCAAAACTACTTTTGCAACCTCCCGTATCTTTTTAGCCATATCCTCCCATATGATGTTAGCACTTCCCTGAGAATCCCAAATTCCTTTATCCAAAAGATTTCGCTTGAAAATATCTTGCTTCTCACCTTTTAATTGCCACCACCTAATCCTTGGTGTTACTACTTGTCGACGTTTTTGGATTTTACTCATAATACACACATCAAGGACTAGGACCCTATGTTGTGTCGTTACAGCATCTCCAGGGATCACCTTACAATTTTTACAAAGTTTTCTATCAGTGTTCCTAACCAAAAGAAAATCAATCTGCGACCTTGAGGCTCCACTTTTGTAGGTGATGAGATGCTCATCTCTCCACTTTTTTTTTTTAATTCACCAAAAAAAGATAATCTTACAAAAAAAATTAATCCTAACAACAAGGTGATGTGCATTTAAGTAAAATACACAAAATGATTCTACACTTTGAAACAGTTACAAACGTAAAACCTTTTATTTTTAAAATTTTAAAATTAATTTTTCATAATTTTTTCAATTTTTTAGTTACAAACTCTCCTATAATTTACTGTTATTTATTAGTTATTTTATTAATCAAAATTGTTATGTCATGTTAAAAAAAAACTCCTAATAACTTATGTGATGCATTATGAGCTTTATAATTTTTTTAAATAAATAATAATTATGATAATTTTATTAAAAGATAATGATATTACATATTATAAAATATAGTTTTTCTTCTTCTTCTCTCTCCTTTAATTTTTAGTTAGTTTTTCAATTACACCGCGCAAAAAGCCCATACCGTCATTTGACTTATTTCAAAGCTGAACCAATATAAAATTCTTCGTTATTATAAAAATATTATTAATAATTATGCCATAAAAATAAGCACGGCGCGCGGTTGCGCCAATCTTAAGCGAAGTAGCAAACCCTGATTCAACTATCATATCATTAGTTAATATAAAAATATTTTTAATTAATTACGCTCATAAAATTGGAGCAGCTCGCGGTTGCGCCAATTTTAAGCAAAGTAGCAAACCCTAATCCAACGGTTATATCATAGCCGCCGACCTTCGCGGTGCGGTTTCTGCTGCTTCGTTGAGTGGGTTTAGTCCCGTGGTTCCATCATATCGGTCTGGTTCGCTCTACTCTGAACGTCATCTTCTTCTGCTCGGAGATGGCCAGAGAGATGCTGAAGGAGCACGGCGAGCAATTGGCCGACCGGCACAATAGCCGATCCGCGGCCAAGTTTAGCAGAGACAGCAAAGATCGGCGATTATGGGCCTCACTAGATGAAGGTGAGGAAGGTCTTCACGCTCGATCTTTTCTCTCCTAAGCGCCTTGAAGCGTTGAGACCCATTCGAGAGGACGAGATCACCGCCATGGTTGACTCCGTCTTCAAGTGAAATCGCTAGAACCGATGCATTATGATCCGCTACAAAAGTCGATCTGGTAGCTTCCTCCGGGTACTCAACAACTAGAGTAATCTCTCTTTCTCCTTTGAGCTTTATTCGGTCGAGTGGCTTATTCGAACGTTGTGAATCCTGCTGTGCTTCTAGCTTCAGTGAAAGATTCCTAGTTTCAGTGAAGCGCCGCGTACTATTGTTGAAATATAATATAGCTTTGGTAGGTTACTAACACTTCACACTGCTTGGTTGATTGATTGAATTCCAATTATGACCCTTCATCTACATTTACAATGATTCATAAATTTGTTATGGTAATGGATTTTATGGACTTTTTACTAACCAAATCACGGGCATAAAATGGACATCAGTATCAATATATATAATAGTATCTCTATTAAGTTGCTTGCAGGTTATGATTTGCAGAGTTTATCTCTTGCATCATACGCGATTCACAGAGAAAATGTCATATTTAGGGGAGAAAATGTAATATAAAATTTTTTATTTCTTAATGTTTAGATTTTACACGCACACACCATTGTTTAGAAGTACTAGTAGTAATAATAATAAGTATGGTCTGGGGACTTTCTTACAAGTTAAATACGGTTTTGGGGATGGTGACCGTAGGTACTACCTATGCCTTACCCAGAATCAGAATCTTCTGGGGGGCGGGGGTGATTTGATGGTGGCATTTACCTGAGTGTAAGTGTATAACCAAAGTCCTTAATTTTGTTGTACGATTCTGTTCTTTATTTTTATACTTGATATACATTGAATGTATTAAGATTTATGACAATTGCTTTTTCCGTGCCTGTTAATTTGTTAAAGAATTCTAAAATTCAGTTTCCTATTTATTAATTACTTTATCTAGTAATTACTATATGGAATTATAGAGGACCCATCTTTTATCAAATCTATTATACAACTGTTGATGGTTTCAAGAATTTTATACTTCCAGGTTGTAATTGGGCTGGATTTTGTTCCTTCATACGCAAAATCATCTTTATTTCAGCAACCAATTGAGGAAGATAGTGATGAGGACTGAGGAGCTGGTATATGCTGACAGTACTTGTGGTATTGTTAACGTTTCATGAAACTTCTGACTTCCCAGGGTGTTTTTTCACTTTTTTAGTTATCAATCCTTTTGTGATTGCATGAAATGAAATGTTTAATTGAGATACTTGTGTGAAATACTAATTCACTATCTCATTTTAAATAACTAGTATGTGAGGTAGTATTGGTCTATACTTATTCCTAATCAAAATGTACATTGATAATGTATAAGTGTAAAACATCTGATGTTAGGCATTCAAATTCCATGTTTAGTGGCTGTGATGAGCACTGGGTGCTCTCTGCAGAAACGATGCTGTTGTGAATTTTAGCATATGGCAGAACATTTTAAAAAATGGGAGAAGATTTGGGTTAAGTTCTGCATTGACCTCCATTATCGTTTTGTGTCTCTACATTGACTTAAAGACTCCATTATGTTCATTTTCCCTTCTTTTTATTTTAACTTTCCCCTCTTCTGATATTGCAGAGAGAAAAATAAGGGCCAGGGACCTTTTTTTCACTTCTGTTAATAAAAGGTGAAAAATATGAGTTAGCTTGTATTTACTGTAAAAGGCAAGTTTATCCATTTTCCACCTTTAAGCGTGTGGCCTAATTGACGTAGTTTCACTACTTGTGACATGGCCGATTGGTTTGAGGGGATGGTGGAAAAGAGCGAATGCATGGTTTGAGAGAAGAGGTACTGTTGTAGATTGGTGAGGTTGTTCTGTCTTGTTGGCTGTTGATGTTATGTGTTTTCCTTGTTTGACAGGGACATGACTGGGTTGAAGCTCAACAATATTGTGCCTCATTTCTCAATAAGTTGGCTATCCTTGTGGGCTGTAAAAATTTTCTTTGACTCTTACAGACAAACTGTAGACCCCCCCTCTGTTAATGTACAATTTGATTTTTCTACATTACTTCATCTGTATCTGTCGTTCTGAAAGTGGGAAGGAGTGTACACTCCAGCAAGCGAAATAGAAATGGGTAGAAAGGAAGAATGGAGGATTTGCTATTTATCTTCAACTTAAATCGATTGGTAAATAAAGTTATCCTTTCTGCCACTTTGTAGAGAATTTTCTTTTTGGTGTACCATGGTGCTTTTGCTTATTTTGATGTTGCTACAGTTGGTGTACCATGTTCCTTTGCTGAAACATCTTTCTTGACAACTTGAAAATGTATTTGGAAGATTAACTATGATGTCTACTTGTTATGGCATCAAGGCTGGTGACTTGCACGATTAGCATTAACAATTGATATCATTGGTCAGTTTTGACTTCCATTTGAATTGTTTTTAATTGTAGTTTTAAAAACTATCAAATCTAAATCATCAAATTTAATCCAATGGTTCACAATTATAGTGGTCTCCCCCCCAACTAAGTTGAGAGAAGGCACCTCCCCAGAACCACAAGTGTTCATTGGCTTTCGCTTCTCTTTTGATCTTTTGATTTTATTATATCTTGTGCTTTCATAAGGAATAGAACCATCATGAGATATTCAGAACATTTTGGTAGTCTAGAGACGGCAAAGATGGGTCCTTTTTCAAGGACTCCACAAATCCCGGTATGCTATTCATCCTCGTCACTTCTGTCAGTCTATATAATTTTGGTAGTCCAAAGATGATTTGATTGTTCCATTGCATTGTGTTTTATGTTCTCCTCTCTACGAAACAGAGGATAACCTAGGGGTAGTTTATTAATACTTCACAATGCTTGATTGATTAGATTCCATTTATGACCCTTCATGTCCTTGTGGGAAAAGTATGATTGATTAATTGTCTTGAACTTGACTTGCTGAGCTGGCTTATTTTCCTTGCATTCATGTCTTGAGATTTTTTGATCTAGCATATGTATAAGAAATGACTATTTTTTTTTAAAAACATATGTCCTTGCTATTTTATTTGAACTTGCATCTTCAATGCACTCCTATTAGGCTCACTGATGCTTGTATCATTTGATGCCTAAAGCTGAATGCATAAATATGACTATAGGGATCTACTTTTGCTCTTCAGCTTAGACTTTTGGTGTCTTTGCTGCTTGTAGCCCCTGTACAAGTATGGGATTGTTCTAATTGTTTTGGATCTTTTAACTTATATCTCAAATGTGGGAATATTTGGACTGTCTTGGATCATTTAACTTCGATTACAAATGTAGGAATATTTTGATCGTTTTGAACCCTTTATCTTGGATATGAAATGTTGTATACAAAAGTGAAAATGTTTTGACCGTTTTGAATCTATTGACTTGGATCATAAATTTGGGAATATTTGGACTGTTTTGGATCCTTTGAATTCGATTACAAATGTAAGAATGTTCTAATCGATTTGGATTTTTTAACTTAGATTTTGGTAGCTCTTATATTGGCAATGTTTTGATTGTTTTGGATCTTTTGGCTTTGGATTACAAATGCGGGAATATTTCGACCGTTTTGGATCCTTTAAATTTGATTACTAATGTGGGAATATTCTGACTTTTTGAACCCTTTATATTGAAAATAAAATGTTGTATACAAATGTGGGGATGTTTTGACTGTTTTGGATCCATTAACTTGGATCACAAATTTGGGAATGTTCAAATCGTTTCTTTAAATTTGATTACAAATGTGAGAATGTTCGAACCATTTTGGATCCTTTTAACTTCAATTTTGACAGCTCTTATATTGGGAATGTTTTGATTATTTTGGATCCTTTGGCTTGAATTACAAATGTAGGAATGTGTGACTGTTTTGGATCCCTTAACTTAGATTATAAATGCAGGAATGCTCTAACCGTTTTGATTTCTTAACTTAGATTTTGACTACTCTTGTACAAATGTGGGAATGTTCTAAATGTTTTGGATTTTCTAGTATGGATTACAAATGTGGGAATTTTTGGACCGTTTTGAATCCTTTAATTTCAATTACAAATGTGAGAATGCTCCGTCCATTTTGGATTCTTTAATGTGGATCACAAATATCTGAATTTTTAGACCCTTTTTGATTTTGTAATTTTGGTTACAAAAGTGAGAATGTTTTAATCATTTTGGATCCTTTACTTGAAATATTGTTGTTGAGAAATTGTAAGTTTGTAACTTGTACAAATGTTGGAAAATTGTAATCGTTTTGGATCCTTGAAATTGGTTTGCAAATGTTGAAAAATTTTGAGTTAATGTAGGAAAATTGATCATTTTGGATAATTTAATTTGGAACATAAATGTTGGAAAATTGTGACCTTTTTGGATTCTTATACTTGGAATAGAAAGCTTCCTTGTGATGATTTAACAATTGTATATTGGCTTTCTAAATGGCTCTTGCAATGGCCGAACTTGTTTCAAATGTCCTTGTGGAAAAAGTGAGATTGATTAATGGTCTTGAACTCGACCAGCTGAGCTGCCTTATCTTCATGTCTTGAGATTTTTTGAAGTAGCATATGTGGTGTCCCTATTTTATTTGAACTTGCATTTTCAATGCACCAGGCTCACTGATGTTCATATCATTTGATATCTAAAGTTGAATGCATAAATACAACTATAGGGGTCTACTTTTGCTCTTCAGCTTAGGCTTTTGGTGTCTTTGCTGCTGCTTGTAGCCCCTATACAAGTGTGGGAATGTTACAATTGTTTTCGATCTTTAACTTGGACCTCAAATATGAGAATATTTGGATAGTTTTGGATCCTTTAAATTTGATTACAAATGTGGGAATATTTTGACCGTTTTGGACCCTTTATCTTGGATATGAAATGTTGTATACAAATATGGGAATGTTATGGCCGTTTTGGATCCATTAACTTGGATCACAAATTTGGAAATATTAGGACCCTTTTGGACCTTTTAAATTTGGTTGCAAATGTGAGAATGTTTTGACCGTTTTGGATCCATTAGCAAAGATTTTGATGGTTCTTATATTGGGAATGTTTTGATTGTTTTGGATTCTTTGTCTTGGATTACAAGTGTGGGAATATTTGGACCGTTTTGGATCCTTTAAATTTGATTATAAATGTGGGAATATTTTGACCGTTTTGGACCCTTTATCTTGGATATGAAATGTGGTATACAATTGTGGGAATGCCCTGATTGGTTTGGATCCATTAACATGGGTCACAAAGTTGGAAATTTCTGGACCGTTTTGAATCCTTCAAATTTGATTACAAATGTGAAGAAGTACGGATCATTTTGGATCCTTTTAACTTTGATTCCGATGGCTCTTATATTGGGAATATTTTGATCGTTTTGGATCATTTGGCTTGGATTACAAATGTGGGAATATTTAGACTGTGTTGGATCCTTTAAATTCAAATACAAATGTGGGAATGTTTTGATTGTTGTGGATCCTTTAACTTGGATCACAAATTTGGGGATTTTCGGACCATTTTAAATCTTTTAAATTCAATTACAAATGTGAGGAAGTACAGATTGTTTTGGATCCTTTTAACTTCGATTTTGATGGCTCTTACATGGGGAATGTTCTTATTGTTTTACATCTTTTGGCTTGGATTACAAATGTGGGAATGTATAATTGTTTTGGATCTTTTAACTTTGATTACAAATAAGGGAAAACTCTAACCATTTTGATTCTCTGACTTAGATTTTGACGGTTCCTACACAAATGTGGGAATGCTATAATTGTTTTGGATTCTTTAGCATGGATTACAAATGTAAAAATTTTTGGACCGTTTGAAATCCTTTAATTTCAATTACAAATGTGGGAATGTTTTGATGGTTTTGGACTCTTTACTGTGGATTATTGTTTTTGATCCTCTAATTTTGATTACAAACATGAATATGTTTTGACTGTTTTGGATCATTTACTTGAAATATTAACGTTGAGAAATTGTGACATATACAAGTGTTGGAAAATTGTAATTATTTTGGATCCTTGAAATTGGTTTGCAAATGTTGAAAAATTTAAGTTATACAAATGTGGAAAATTGACCATTTTGGGTAATTTAGTTTAGAATTTAAATGTGGATCATTTACTGCTTATAGCCCAGGTATGAGTGAGAATGTTTTAGATCCCTTAACTTGGACCTCCAATGTGGGAATATTTGGACCTTTTTGGATCCTTTAAATTCAATTACCAAAGTGAGAATATACTGACCGTTTTAGACCCTTTGTCTGGAATATGAAATGTTGTATACAAATATGGGAATGTTTTGACCGTTTTGGATCCATTGACTTGGATCACAAATTTGGAAATATTCGAACTTTTTTGGATTCTTTAAATTTGATTACAACTGTGAGAATGTACTGACCGTTTTGGATCCATTAATAAAGATTTTGACAGCTCTTATATTAGGAATGTTCTGATTGTTTTGGATCCTTTGGCTTGGATTATAGATGTGGGAATATTTGGATTGTTTTGGATCCTTTAAATTTGATTATAAATGTGGGAATATTCTAATCGTTTTGGACCCTTTATCTTAGATATGGAATGTTGCATACAAATTTGGGAATGCATTGATTGGTTCGGATCCATTAACATGGGTCATAAATTTGGAAATTTTCAGACCATTTTGAATCCTTTAAATTTGATTATAAATGTGAGAATGTTTTGACCGCTTTGGATCCATTAACAAAGATTTTGACGGTTCTTATATTGGGAATGTTTTGATTGTTTTGGATCTTTTAGCTTGGATTACAAGTGTGGGAATATTTAGAACGTTTGGATCCTTTAAATTCGATTATAAATGTGAGAATAGTTAGACCATTTTGGACTCTTCATCTTGGATATGAAATGCTGTATACAAATGTGGAAATGCTTTGATTGTTTTAGATCTTGGTTCACAAGTATGAGATTTTTTGGATTGTTTTGAATCTTTTAAATTCGATTACAAATGTGAGAAAGTATGGATCATTTTGGATCCTTTTTAACTTCAATTTTGATGGCTCTTATATTGGGAATGTTTTGATCATTTTGAATCCTTTAGCTTGGATTACAAATGTGGGAATGTATAATTGTTTTGGATCCTTTAACTTTGATGACAAATGAGGGAAACCTCTGACTTTTGATTTTTTAACTTAGATTTTGACGACTCCTAGACTAATGTGAGAATGTTCTAACTGTTTTGGATTTTTTAGCATAGATTACAAATGTGAGAATTTTTAGATCGTTTTGAATCTTTTAATTTCGATTACAAATGTGGGAATGTTCTAATCGTTTTGGACTCTTTAGTGTGGATTATTGTTTTTGATAATTTAATTTCAATTACAAATATGAAAATGTTTTGACTATTTTGGATCCTTTACTTGAAATATCGGCATTGAGAAATTGTGACATATACAAGTGTTGGAAAATTGTAATTGTTTTGGATCCTTAAAATTAGTTTGTAAATGTTGAAAAGTTGAGTTATGCAAATGTAGGAAAATTGACCATTTTGGATAATTTAATTTGGAATGTAAATGTGGATCGTTTATTGCTTGTAGTCCTAGTACAAATGTGAGAATGTTTTGATCGTTTTGGATCCATCAACTAAGATTTTGACTACTCTTATATTGGGAATGTTCTGATTGTTTTGAATCCTTTAGCTTGGATTACAAATGTGGAAATATTTGGACCGTTTTAAATCCCTTAAATTCAATTACAAATGTGGGAATATTTTGATCGTTTTGGACCCTTTATCTTAGATATGAAATGTTGTATGCAAATGTGGCAATGCTCTAATTGCTTTAGATCTATTAACATGGATAACAAATTTGAGAATTTTTAGATTGCTTTGAATCCTTTAAATTGGATTACAAATGTGAGGAAATAAGGACTGTTTTGGATCATTTTAACTTCAATTTTGACGTTTCTTATATTGGAAATGTTTTGATCGTTTTGAATTCTTTAGCTTGGATTATGAATGTGGGAATATTTAAACCGTGTTGGATCTTTTAAATTTGATTATAAATGTGAGAATAGTTTAACTATTTTCGACCCTTTATCTTGGATATGAAATGTTGTATACAAATGTGGGAATGCTTTGATTGTTTTTAATCCATTAACTTGGATAATAAATTTAAGAATTTCTAGACCGTTTTGAATCTTTTAATTTTGAATACAAAAGTGAGGAAGTATGGACCATTTTGGATCCTTTTAACTTCAATTTTGACAACTCTCATATGGGGAAAGTTCTTATCATTTTGGATCCTTTGGTTTGAATTACAAATGTGGGAATGTGTAACTGTTTTGGATCCTTTAACTTCAATTACAAATGAGGGAAAACTCTAACTGTATTGATTCTTTAACTTAGATTTTAAAGACTCTTATACAAATGTGAGAATGTTCTAATTGTTTTGGATTCTTTAACATAGATTACAAATATGAGAATTTTTGGATCGTTTTGAATCCTTTAATTTCGATTGCAAATGTGAGAATATTCTGACTGTTTTAGACTCTTTAATGTGGATTACCATTTTTGATCCTTCAATTTCGATTACAAATGTGAGAATGTTTTGGCCATTTTAGATCCTTTACTTGAAATATCATCGTTGAGAAATTGTGATATATACAAGTGGGCACCAATGTTGTCTACTTTTTTGTTTTGTAGGAGAGGTTGTGGGATTGAACCTCAAGGGTGCACGTTCTATCAAATCCTTGGGAATTTGATCATTATGAAGGCTTTAGGATGGTTGTGCTATTAGCGTACCCTATCCTGAGTAAATTGGGCTCAAGAGGGTTTCACTCTCCTCCCAACTAGGAAAACTTATGGGGTGAACTTTGAGAAAAGGGAGGGCGAGCACAAGTGTTGGAAAATTGTAACTGTTTTGGATCCTTGAAATTGGTTTTAAAATGTTGAAAATTTTTAAATTTTGCAAATATGGGAAAATTGACCATTTTGGACAATTTAATTTGAAATGTTAATGTGGATCTTTTGCTGCTTGTAGCCCCTATAGGCTCATATAAAATTGGCAGTAGATTAATTACGCTATTAGCTCACAAGTCACAAGTGTCCTCTAGCAAGACATTATAACTATTCAATTCACATGGAAATCGATGATCCAATGTAACCTATCATGCAACCGTATCACATCCCTTTTGTCACGCGATATTTCGGTCAAGTATGAGACATGAAATTGTCATTCTCTTTTACCTGACTGTTACTTTCTCGATCTTTGAGTGGATTAATAGTAGCAATGGAAAAAATTCTTTCCATTATAGTATTGCCATACATTTTCTTAGTCTTACTCATCGAGGGGCCTAGTAATATCTCTCACTTAATGTGAGGGACAAATTATATCTTGATCACTCATATTTTTCTGCATGAATATCACTAAACTCAATCATAGCCTCTATGATCACCCGATCAAAGGTGACTTTTGACTAAATCAAAGTTCAGTGGTCATCATGTAGGAATCCATAATGATCTCAGGTCAAAGGGCTTAGTGATATAGTTACATATGAGATAAACTTATGACTTGTACCATGTAGCTTTCTCATAGCGGATCAGTCCAGTACCTTGTACTCTTTCAAGTACCTATGACTTTGATTTATATCTCTATAATTAATCAAAGTCATATTAGTCTTGTTTCATCTATGATCCCTCATAGATGATCGATCAGGGATATTTAGGACAATCATTATAGTTTGTCCAAGAATACAATTATCATATTGAATATGCAATTGTTATGATAATAAAAGAAAAATTCATTAAATAACAATGTGCATAGTACAATGATTGGCCCTAGGGCACAATTTTTAACATTAACCCAACCTAAACCGCACTCAATAGACCATTTAGGATTTGTGCAACACACCACAACCCAAACAACAAGCATATATCATAAATTCAACACACCACAACCTAAACAACATGCATATATTATACTTTAGGTAGTTATTTGTTAATTGATTGTTTATTGTACATTGTGAACATTACATGCATGAATTGATTTTTCATGTAAAAGCATGGTATGAGTTTTGATAAATATTTGAAAGTATGATTATATATAATGTCATATTTGGCTTCAAATACAAAATGTGAAATCAAGATAATTTTCGAACTATGAACATGTATATGTCTTTAGAAAGATGAATGTGATATTGTGTTGAGGCAAATGTGTGTTAATGAAAAAATAGATTGTTGTGATAAGTGAGAATAGTGTTGTGAAATTGTAATGGATGCTCACTTGGGTAGTACATAGTCATGAGCCCAACGTGTTGATTGTGATAATCAATAAATAAGAATGTGAAAATGAGTGAGCATCGTACATGGCATGATCAGTGGGCAGGAGTTCTCTTAGAGATTAGGAGTAGAGAAAATCCATATATTATTTCGGTTGTCCTCCTGTACACGAGTATAGTCTTGTCTCATAATTTATTGAAGGACTAGAACCTAGCTATCTCTATTAGTTTATCGAGAAGAATTAACTTAAGGTATACGACACCCTAGAGATTTGAGAGTGGGGAAAGCCGTGGATCGAGAGTAAGTATTATGATTTTTGGCCGGGTCACACCTCATGATTGGTGAGCTTGAGTAGTCCAGTCACACGGATGGAGTCTTATTCAGTGTTATAGCCCACAGTTTCAGTCGGAGGAAATAAGGAGGGTATAAGGTTAGTTGATCATTGCCTATAAAAATTTATGATGTGTCACATGATTGTGATGTGGCAAGTCGCGTGGATATTGGATTATGGTCACATGTCTGAGTGTCTTGTGATAATGTACTTAGTGTTTGTGAGATGAAAATGAGCTAAATAAGTAATGATAAGTTATGATATGTGTGCAAGCATGTTTTAAAAACTTAGTTTCACATGCATGTGTTTAATTACAATTAATATATAGGTTTTACCTTAGTTATTAAGTGGCTAGACTCACCATTTTCATTTGATATTTTACAAGCTCTAGCTCTGGTGTTGAAAGAGACAAAGCTCTTAAGGCTTAGGAATATGTACATTCCTATTATATGCCTCTAATTTATGTTTATTTTGTATAATAGAATATTATTGTCAATTCTAGAGTGCATTTTGTTCACACTTGCACTATAAGTTGTTTAAAATGTCTGAATTGTATTTTGGTCCTTGAGTAGTTGTATATGATGAGTTATATGTGTTGATAGGACTAAAATACTAGTGCAAATATAAAAATGTTGTTTTAAAGATGATATGATTAATTTTTGATACAATGCAATTGAAATTAGCACCCGTCTGTTTTCGGTATAAAAGGAATTGAGAAGTGATTTTGTGTTAAGTGGATATTTGGGTGCATGTGGTGTGTTGTATTAGTAGTCCTAGGTCTATAAAATATGGTCTAGGTATTAGAAAGGGCTTTTGGCACTTATTCTGGGTTTTACACACCCAATTGTATGTGAAAGTTGTAAAAAGTGATTAAAATGAGTTTGGGCGTCCAACTTTCTGGTGTAACATGTTTTGAAAGTGAAACCCGTGCCATTAGCTAATTTATAAAAGAAAAAGTTTTTTGTAAACACCTAAATCATATTATTTGAATGTTGGATGGAGATTTGATGCTTGAGCCATGGCACATGGCACATAGAGCAACACATTGCAGTGCGCTGTGCCTAAGTCATGGCACATTATCCTATTTTATAGTAAACAAGTTATTTTTCAACTATTTTCATTCTTTTTCACTCCTTTAAAATATCACATGTTTTCATAACTTATTTTTATTCTGATATACGAGTTTATAAATGGTTTAAAGTCATTTTGATTATAAAAACTTAGGATCCCTTAATTTTAAAAAATTTAAAACTTGGTAATCTATTTTGATATATACTCTTGATTACCATGGATTTGAACTTGTTAATGGTAATTTGTAGTGAAGGATGTTTTAAGCGAAGTAGCTGTGGCATTTAGGGGAGGCATTGCTACTGAGTTAAACTTGAGGAATTAAAAGTTTCATTAATTAATAGGTCAAAATTTGATTTAAAGCCAAATAAATCTTTAGAGAATGGATCAAATTAAATTAATAAAAATTATATTAATTTAAGGGCTAATTTGTTCTCATTTAATTACATATACATGTCAAGTCATCAAAATACTTTATACATTAGGTTAATTTAAAAGTAAATTTATTTTTTTAAAGCTTAAAAGACTAACATGATAATATAAGAAAACATAAGGGTCAAATTGATAAAAATTAAACTTAAATGACTAAATCGATAACTAAATTAAACTTGAGGAACTAAAAGTTTTATTAATTAATAAGCCAAATAAAACATTTAGAGAATAGATCAACTCGGTGCAATTTATTTCTTATAGACAATAAGACACAATTGAACTTGAAACATCTGCAATATATAATGAGATTCATGAATTAATTTAAGAAAAAATTATGTATAGGTCTCATGAAGTAGATTTATTTTTCTTGCAAAATTCAAAAACTACAGCCAGATCCCTTGGAACTTGATTATAATTTAAAATTGGGATGCATAAACAATAATGACCCTATTAAAAATACATTACATCAATCAAATAATTCACAACTATTTCATCAATAATTTACAACTATTATTTCAATTTTTATAACCATAATTTCACATATTTAATAATTAAATTAATCATATATTACAAGTTTGATGGTAATTGCATACAACTACCTCATAAGTAATTTACAATTATCATTTCAACATTTTACAACAATAACTTTACATATTTAATAGTTAAATCGATCATGTGTTGCCAACAAAATTCATCACTAATTGTTTACAACTGTTACATTAGTAATTTATAACTCACACTTTGATATTTTACAATTGTAAATTCAATATTTTTAACAAGGACAATATTGTCTTTGTAGCTTAAATTCAAATCACACTTAGATTTTAAAAGACTTGGTTATAGTTTTTAAATTTTGTGAAATTATTTATGAATAAGTATTCTGCATGACACCTATACGTAATTTTTTCATAATTAATAGCATTGGCATACATCACCTGCGTTTGTCAAAAGATTGAAGGCCGTCCTTGTCCACATCAATTTATATTTACCGTGTTGCCAGCAAATTTGGAAAAAGAAAGAAAGAAAGTAAGAGAAACCAGTTGTCTGGCTGGTCTAATCCATTGTATCTGAAATAATATTCCACTTTTTCCAATAAAAAATGTTTAATGTTAACAGATGATAAAATAATGTTTGAGTGACAAATTAAAATGCATTGAGTCAATAATATAATTTTGAATTATTTCTTAACTAAAAAGTTTTTGAAATCAAAATTATTAGAGTTAGACTAGATCGGTCCATCCAACCGGTTAGATTGGAACCGGTCTCCTATCCACAAATGTATATTTTATTATTTTTGTAAGTGACACTTGAGATTTGACAATCTTGTGAGCATGCTAATATAGACACGCCTTAGTATTAAAAAAAAAAATAGTTCAAATACAATTAAATAAAAAAATGAAAATGAAAAGAAATGCAGAAAACTAGAAAAAGAAGTAAAAAGATAGAAGATTTGCATCTGCTTTTATAGGGATTTATTTTAAATTTTCTACATAAACCACATTGAAATTGGCGATGAGTAGAGAGTGGATGTCTCTTACTATTATCGAGTTTAAGCTTCCAGCTGAGAGATCATTCAAGAAACAATTTGGCCAACATATATTAATATAAGATCTCACGAACAAAGTTCCCTAGGATCAAAAGTGAGTGACAGATATAACCCAGAACAGAGTAGATCGAAGATAAAGAATGTCAAAGTTGCTATTTTGGTATTACATTATTATTTTATAAATGATAAAAAGAAAAATGATAATAAAATCTCTTTAAATTATGTAAATGACAATTTAATCTCTCAAAATGTCATAATATCAATAAAGTCTCTAAGAATTTTTTTGTTATAAAGGAATTAATGTAAGTGATCAAATTGCCCTTAGTTTAGAATTTCAAATGCGAACTTAAATTTTGTTGCATTCTTATAATTTTAAGAAGAAAAGTTATGAATCTTAAAACAAAATTTATACATGATAATTAATATTTGAAACACTTGAAAAATATCAGGATTTCAAATACAAACTTATAAATTGCTGTTGAATTCTTATGGTTTTAAGAAGAAAAGTAGTAAATATCTAAACAAAACTTGTGAATGACAATTAATATTTGAATTAAAGGTAATTTGATCATTTATATTAATTCCTTAAAAACAGAAAAGTCCCTATGACTTTATTGATATTATGATATTTTAAAAAATTAAATTATTATTTATATAATTCAAAAGGATTTTGTTACCTTTTTTTCATGATAAAGCTTATATTTATTATTTTTATTTTAAAATATTTTTTTAATCTCGGAAAAAAGGTACTCCCTCTTGGGAACTAGAGTTTCGTTGGAGCTCGGAAGTATGGGCAATTCCTTCGTTCTTCTTTACTATATTTTTCATTATTATTAAATTATACTCCTTTCATTAAAAAATATAAAGCATTTTTAACTGAATCTCATCCCCAATAAAGTAGTTAATTATTTTAAATTAACCCTATCTTTTCATATTTACTTTTATTAAACACCTTATAATAAATATAAAGTCAATATCAATAGGGGCACTTTTGAAAAAAAGGCAATGATTACACTTCAAAAGACTAAAAATGCCTTACATTTTTAAACATCTAACTTCTCAAAAAATGTCTTATATTTTTTAACGGAAGGAGTATAATTTAGTCTTTTCTTCAAATATGAAAATTTTAATTCACGTTATTTTCTTTTCTTCAATAAAAAGTTTCTTATTTTTTTAAAAAATTATTCTTTATATTTTACTTTGTTTACTTAATTTCATAAAAAAATTTAATATATTATTAAAATTTTATTATTTAATTAGGACTAATCTATGTTTAACTGTGCTCAAAGAATTGAATCATGAACCAGTGTTTTGACTGGTTTTAATGTACAATTTATGAAAACATTGATTGAAATTTGAGAATTATTTTCTGTTTGTAAAGTTCTGTTTTTTGGCCGATTATAGCTGCAAAGTTCAACCAAATTGTTTAAAAGAAAAAAGATAGAAAAATCAGCCGCTCACAAAAGACAAAAAAAAAAAACTTTAATTAACCGGCCAAAATTTGATTCAAAGTCAACGAAATTCTTAACAGATCAATGGATCAAATTAGTTTTATTTATTTCTCATCTTATTTACAATAAGACCAAATTGAACTAATTGTAAGCATCTGCAATATAATGAGATTCATTAATTAATTTAATACATTGATATACATCACCAGCTTTTGTCAAAAGATTGAATGTAGTCCTTGTCCTCATCAATTTTTATTTACCATGTTGGCAGCAAGTTTGGCCAAAAAAGAAGAAAAAGAAGAAATTAAGAAAGATGGAAACCAGTACGTTATCTTGTCTGGCTCTGGTTTAATCCATTGTGTCTAAAACAATATTACATTTTTCCAACAAAAAATGTTTATTCTTTCAAATTCTATCTCGCTTCAATCAATTCAATGTATCTTATCTCCTTCAACGTGGGACTTGGTCATGAATTTTCATTTGTTCTCATTTAAAAAGGAAAATGTGTTCATTGTCTTCTTTAGATCATCCAATAGAATCCAATATCATCATTTTGTTTTAAATTAGTGGAAGTTATATGCTGCTTTGATATTAAATTATAAAATATTTTTAAATAAAATTATACATGTCAATAAAACTCATTAAATATACTTTAAAATTTTATTTTTTAAAATAAAAATATAAATTTTTAAAAATACCTTTCATTTAATATTTAATTTATAAAAATATTAAAAAAATAGAATATACATATATATATATATAGAAAATGTAATATTCCAAAAACATTAATAACAAAATATTATTTTTATTAAAATATTTTATATTTTAGAACATTGAATCTCTTTCAAAAAGTATCTAACAATTTGAGGCAAAGGTAATACTTAGCATAATTTTTTTATAAATAAAATAAATTAATTGCAATTGAATAAGCTAATTGCAAGTCAAATCCTCTGAGATTATGTAAATTTCATAAAATTTGTATTCTAAAAAATAAAAATATTTATATTTTATAAGAAATAATAATATGAGAAAAATATTTTTTAAATTTTTTACAAAAATTCATGAAACTGAACTTTAGAGTATTTAAATTCATTTTATTGCATGCATGTTACTTTCTTGGAGTTGACTTCTCTCCCTTGAGAGAAACCTCCTCTGCCTCTCCATTGAGGTAGAGGCTTAACTAGTACTATGAATGGTATAAATTTAATATTTTTATTTTTTATTTTTAATTTATATTTTTAAAATAAAACACATAAAAATTATAAAAAAATTTAATAAATATACTTATCAATTTACAGTCCAAATTTAATATATAGATAAATTAAATTTAATATTAAAATTGTTTAATAAATTTATTACTTTGTTCAAAATATATTTGCACTGTCCAAAACATATCTAAAAAGTTAATTTAAATTTTTATATTAAATTTAAAATATTCATATTAAATCTAGATTGTCAAATTGATAAGTATATTTATTATATTTTTATATATTTTTTATTCTAAAAATATAAATTTAAAATTTAAAAATTAAAGTCGGACGGTCCGGATTTATCAGAGGAGGCGGAAGAAGCTGACTCCTACTTTCTTATGTGAGTTAACCTTTTAAAAAAAAAAAAAAAACACGAGCGCGCGCGCGCGCGCAGAGAATAAACGCCGCCACATGTCACGCATTGTTGATTCTACACACTCTGATAATTATTTGATTAATTTGATAGTGGGTACTATTAACTTTAATATAATTTGATTTCCCTCTCTGACCAAGCATTTGTCTTCGGCCATATATTTTGTCACTCAATGATAAACTGTTAAAACATTTGCTAACAATTCTAACAACGTTATATGCCTGCTCATTCACCAAAATATTATGTAGATATTTCTTTAATTTATTGAAATTAAATGATATTACATATATTCCCTCCATTAAAATATATAAGGTATTTTTTGAAGGATTGGATGTTAAAAAATATAAAACATTTTTAGCCCTATTGAATAATTTACTTTATATTTATTTTATAGTGTTTATAGGGGTAAATATGAAAAGATAAGATTAGTTTAAAAATAAGTAACCACTTTATCGGAGTGAGATTTGGTTAAAAATACCTTATATTTTTAAACAAAAAAAATACATATATAACTTTTCTAAGAAACTCTATATACTATATATTTTATTTTAATTTTAAATATTTTCATTGACTTGAATTAAAAATTTTAAGATAAAAACTAATCATTGAATTGAGGAAGTTTAACATATTTTTCATTTAATTGAGGATTTAAAAGGATTATAGTGTAATTTTATTCATGAATACAATAACTATTTATATACTTAAATATTTTAAACCTTTTTTCACATATTTTAGTAAGAATTAAATGTTAGAAAAAAATGAATAAACTATTAAAATTTTAAATTATTATCCATTCTAAGCATCATTTAGGAGAAGATATCCAGTTCAATTATATCTCAATGGATATGTTTTACCGATTCTTTACTAATCAATTTGAAGAATAAACTAAACCGGCCGGATTGAAGACCGAGTTAACAACATATATATACTTTTACCCAAGAAATAATCATTCATTTCGTGAATTAAAAGGAAATGGTCTGTCAACAAATATTAATGCAATTAATAAGAATTTAATTTATAATTTATAAAATCATGAGTTTAGATATTGTTGTTGATGTGAAGATCTTATTAATGGGCGATCTGTAAATATCTCTATAAATATTCTTCGAGCTCAAAGCCATGCGCAGATACTGGTGAGCTCTCAAAACTCAACTCACCTATACTTTTTACTTTTCCCTTAATTAATTCTCATTATTTTCTTAAAAAATATTAATTACTAGTATAAATGGTCTTATTTATAGCAACATTGCACCTCCAAATTTTTGCACGTCACGTAATTAAAAACGAAGGAAGAGCATATAAGAAGTAAAGTAATATTGAATATTTCAAAAAGTATCAGAAATTAAATTATAATTCTTGGTTCGCACCTAACAGTACATCACGTAAAAAATAATTTATTATTGTATGTGTTATGGGATATATATATATATATATATACAAGACCCATCCCTTCTCTTATTATTGCTTCAATAATTATTAATGGCTTTCCAAGAGCTGTTCCTCCTACTTCATGAACACATTATTATTATTTCTTCTTCTGTTATGATCTTCTTCTTCTTCTTCGTCTTCAACATTTCATCGCTCAGAAATCTTCAGTTTCAGAGAAAACTGCCGCCAGGGCCAAGAGGATGGCCTCTTGTGGGTTGACTTCCATTAATGGGGGATATGCCTCATGTTACCCTCACAAAAATGGCTAACAAATATGGACCCATCATGTACCTTAAGATGGGAACTAGAAAAATGGTCGTGGCTTCAAATCCCGCTGCGGCGCGAGCCTTTCTCAAAGATGCCGGCCATAACTTTGCGAACCGGCCGTCCAACGCCGGCGCCACCCATGTGGCTTATAATTCTCAGGATGTGGTATTTGCTAAGTATGGACCTAAGTGGAGGCTCATGAGAAAGCTCTGTAATCTTCACTTGCTTGGTGGAAAGGCTATTGAGAACTGGGCACAGGTTGTTATTATTATTATTATTATTATTATTTTAGCCTTGTTCGGATGTATATTTTTTATATGGCATGATTTTTAGAATCTAATAACATGTTTAATTAATTTTTTTAAAAAAAGTTTAGATAAGTGTTTTTGATTTTATAAATAAGTTTCACTATTTTTTTTATTTTTTATTTTTTATTTTTCAAAAAATTAAAGAAAATGAAAATATCATGAAATTATTATTTTTATTTTTAAAACACATTACATTTAGTTATTGAAAAATTATTGTCGCAAAAAATCCCATTGATTGTCTTCACCATGCATGGGTTATCATCGGACAACTTGGCTAGCAACAATGCCAACCGTATGCCCAACAATTACTATACATAGACCACTATCATCCAAAGTAATATAATTAAATAGATTATTTGTTTTCTTTTGAAAATTAATTTTTAAAAGATAAAAATAGAAACGAAATCAAATAACTTTTAAAATTTCTCGTTGAAATAAAAAAAATCAGTACAGAAATGAGAAAGATACGAAAAGAGAAAATTTAATCAGATCCATTCATGTGAGTCATCCATTCATCTTCCATATATCATGAAAGAATGAAAATTTAATACGAGAAACTTCAAAGCCAAAAATGAGTTGGCGTTATTGTGTGTGCGCGGGCGCCATTTAACAGGTGCGAGCCGAAGAACTGGACCAAACGGTTCAGGCAATGCACCGGTCGAGTCTTGTGGGGGAACCGGTGGTGGTGCCGGAGATGCTAACATACGCCATAGGGAACATGTTAGGGCAAGTGATCCTGAGCCGTCGCCTGTTCGATACGAAGGGGAGGGAATCCAACGAATTCAAGGACATGGTGGTGGAGCTGATGACCACCGGCGGCTATTTTAACGTCGGCGACTTCATCCCCTTTCTGGGCTGGCTCGACCTTCAGGGCATTGAGCGAGGCATGAAACGCCTGCACAAGAGGTTCGACGCCTTGCTGACAAGGATGATCAATGAACACGTGGCGTCCAATGATAGGCGCAAGAGTAAACCTGATTTCTTAGACGCTATCATGGCTTATCTTGGAGGCGATCACTCTGATGCAGACCATAACTTTACACTCACCAACATTAAGGCTCTTCTTCTGGTACGTCTCGTTAACTCTATTTGTCTTTCTCTGCATGTGCATGGTGGGTAAGGATTTTTTTTTTTTTTTTGTGCATGCCCTATACAGTCTTTGAGTAGGTAAGTTTTAATGTTTTACTGCTTTAGCGGACAGGATCACTTGGAATCTTTAGATTAAAAATATCATGGAAAAATATAATAACCAGTAGGTCCCTATGCTTTGATTTCGTAATGTTTTGGTTATTGATTTAATCTTTCAACTTTAACTCAATATAACTTAATTCTTCATAGTTTATCAAGGTATAAAATTGTAGGAACTAATTAAATTGTACCAAGTAAAAAAAAATAAGAGCTTAGTTGTTTTGAATTAAGAAATTATAAGGAATGTAATAATATTTCAAGTCAAAAATTTAAGAATTGAAAGTTTTCTCTCCATATCAATAAAAGGCATAACTGAATAACACAATGTCCTAACAACTAATATAATGGGAGAAAGTTATATATTTGACCTACATACTTAAAATATTTATTTTTAATTAAATAAAGACATGTGTATGTTATTTATTCTATAATAAATTATTGTTACAAATATTATTAATACATTAATTAAAACCTATTTTTTTTATTTGATTGAATAAAAATACATTAAGTATATAAGATTAAGTACCTAAGTCTTGCTCTTATACACTAATGCACCAAGGCAAAAGCTCTGTTTTTTCCTTATAATTTGGATTAAAACAAATTGTTCAAAGTTCTCTTATATTCAAGTGTATTAGTTGTTTAAAAAAAATAAGACGAAGTTAATTAGTACAAAACTACAAAGAAATAACATTGAAGGATCACAAAATTATATGCATTCAAATTTCTCATACTTTCATGTTATTGCAGAACCTATTCGCAGCAGGCACAGACACATCCTCAAGCGTCATAGAATGGGCACTTGCAGAGATGCTAAAAAACCCTAGTATCATGAACAAAGCACAACAAGAAATGGACCAAATCATCGGCCATGAACGTCGTCTCCAAGAATCTGACGTCTCAAACCTCCCTTACCTCCGAGCAATCTGCAACGAGACCTTCCGGCTACATCCTTCCACCCCTCTCAACCTCCCCAGGGTGGCGGCCGAGCCGTGTGAAATCGCCGGCTACTTCATCCCGAAGGACACGAGGCTGAGTGTCAACATATGGGCCATAGGACGAGATCCTGACGTGTGGGAGAAGCCATTGGAGTTCAAGCCAGAGAGATTTGTGAGTGATGAGAAGAACAAGAAAATGGATCCTAGTGGGAATGACTTTGAGTTGATTCCTTTTGGAGCTGGAAGGAGGATATGTGCAGGGACGAGATTAGGGATTTTGATGGTTCAATTCATATTGGGGACTTTGGTGCATTCGTTTGATTGGAAGCTTCCAGAAGGAGTTTCGGAGCTGAATATGGAAGAGACCTTTGGACTTGCCTTGCAGAAGAAAGTTCCTCTCACAGCTATGGTTAGCCCTAGGTTGTCCCCTAGGGTTTATACTTTATAGCATTGCCTCAAGTTAGACGCTGACATGGAGTTCTGGATGGATTCAAGGTGTCTGCTGTCTTCTCTTCGGCCTTTATAATGCCCAAAATCTCATCCGATGTCTTCATCATTTGAAGGAATTAGATGAAATTTCTTTCATCATTGGCCCTAATGAACGGCTAAGATTTTAGATATTAGAGAGGGCATTAGACTTCTCAAATCCATTCAAGACAGCGTCTTTAGAAGAAAGCAGTGGAGAAGTAGTATTAAGCATACACATATAAATTATTGTAGAATTATAATAAAGGATATTATTTTATGCTGCGTCTAGAGGTGGGATCAAATCCACCATTAGACATTAGCCCAGAGTTCTGGATGGATTTGGAATGTTAGTTGTCCTCTTCCCTGTCTCCTTTAATGTCCAAAATCTCAGTCCTTCATTTAAAGAAATTAGAAGAAATTTCTTTGACCATTGAAATGAACGGCTGAGATTTTGGATATTAAGGAGGACATTAGACACCCCAAATCCACTTTATGACAGGAAGAAATAAATGGAAATAAATAAATTAATTTAGAATTATAGTAAAGGATATTATTTTAATTAGTTTAATTTGTAATGTGTAGCATTTCTTTCTTGTCATTCTCAGAGACAAAAGCAAAGACTTAACACCATGCTTGCTCTGCTCTTCGAGCTAAGACTCATTCAGTAAGTGAGCTAAGAATGAGTTTCGAGTGAAGTTGCTACAGGAAGAGAAAAATCTCAGATAACTGTAGTAGCACTACACAACAATTAAAGTGGCGTTCTCCCTTAATTAAAACTTCTCATCTACTTTCAGGAAATGTTCCGAACAGAGAACTTACAAAAAAACAATGCCGCATTCTCCGAAGATTGAGGAACAAGAAGAGATCTATTAAGAGAAAGATTTGTCCAAGAGAAAATCTTAACAGTTACATGCAATCACAAACTACACGAAAGTTGCCCCTTTTTCTTTTGGATTGTCTCAGTGAAGCCATCCCTTTTCTCATCTCTTTGGGGTTTCTCTACTGTGGGATCCCTGTGATAATTTTTTCCTACATTCACGGGGATGAGGAAAGCAGTTCCGAGGAGGAACCCGAAGCTGTTGGCGCATCCAGTGGACCTTCTTCTTAGTCTTCAGCTCTCACTAGACTCACTACTCTAAGTGAAGGAATCTGAGAGGAAGGGAATTGGAATTTCTAGGAGGAAACCTCTATGATGTGGTATAAGATGGCCAATTGCATTAAAAGATTGGCTAAAGAAGTTTTTGGAGGGTCAAAATCACTCACATAAAGAAAGTTGGTGGTGAAACCAACCACTAGAGATTGGACATATATATAATCTTTATTCTAAATAATAAAAAGATATTCTAAGTTAAATTTGATAAATAATCAGTTCGTAGTAAGTCCTGCAGATGACCGGAGGTGAAAAGACAAAATGGAGAGACGGATCGATACGCCTAAGCCGAATAGAGGGATATGGTGTTTACCTAAATAGAGTGGAACGGCAACGCAAGCTCACTCTTGAAGAGACTTACATACTACTAGTCGTTTTTGTTTGTGTATTGAACTTTGTTGATGCTCTCTTCTGTGGAAAGTAATGAAAATGCTTTGGTGGTCAGGCTCTTAATGTTTATTGTATTTTTTATGATCCTTCCATTAACTACTCCTTTCTCCCTTAGAATATCACAATACATTATCCTTATATATATATATATATATATATATATATCCTGGGATTTAGTTCAAGGAGTCGTCAGATCGATGAGTCACTTATTTTTATTCTTAAGCCAATCCTCAAGGTAATAAGCAGTGCAATGCATGAGGTAAAAGCTAGTTATATAAAATCTAAAATCAATCTTCTATTGCTATTCAATTCCTATTAATTAGCAATGACATTTTTAAAATAGCTATACACACACACACATAATCTAAAAGCAAAGTTCTTCTTGCTATCGTATTACCACAGTTTAATTATTATTCATTGAAGTGATATTTTCAAGTTTAAAGAGTTCAGCACTCTCCCAAACCACATATTTTATTTTTAAAAATGAAAATTGAATATTCCTAATACAATGCACATGAAATTTTATAGTCTAGTGGTACTACTAGGTTTATAAAATAAGTTATTGTATACTTGTCTTGGCGCTGCATATTTGACAGTAAATAAACGAAGTAATATTTTTAATCAAATTGTTAAATATGTCCTCTTTGGTTAAATTTAATTAAAACTAAAATTGAATTGAATTGAATCAGTCGATTTAAAAAGTAAATAAATCTTGTTAATTATGTTTTACATTCCAATAGGTTTGATTTCATCTGGATAGATCCAGTTTATGTTCATCAATTATATTTATTTGAATATTTCTCAAATGTTACATGGTCAACAAATGAAAAGGGCCGGGAATTTAAATTATATATAAACAAACGAAAATTTTTGTTATGTTCAACTCATTCATACTAGAGATAAATAATTAAATTAAAACCAATAATAATATATAGTATAAGTACATGTTTCTTATACTTTTTTTTTGGGGAATTTGACTCATTTTTCTGACATTTTTAATACTCATTTACAACAATGGAATTGATTTACCTTATTTCAACTATAGATCGGATTTGCTCAAGAATTTCGCTAACACTTTCATTCCTATGGGAGAAACAACAAATAACAACATGGGACTTGTTACAATAATTCACAGAAAAGAAAAATGCAAACAAACAAACAAACATCAATGTAGAAAAATTTCTCAATCCTTCGAGCCATGCATGTAGAAAGAGATACTTGCTTTTTCTTCTCATCATCTTCACAAGCTCCTTCCCACATCTCTCTTACTCTAAACACCAAGAGAGATACATAATATATGAATGATTATCAAAGATCCTTCTTTCACGAGTGCCAGTTTCAATCAGAATCCCTAATTAAAGCAAGAAATATATAAGTAAAGTTATAATTAAAGTATTAATATTTGACTGTTGGATTGCTTAGACGATACTGATCGTGCCACGTGATTGACCAATCAAATTTGGATCCCCTAAAGTATTTCATGGGATGAAGTAGAGAGAGATAATTCTGTGAGTTATTATATCTCTCTCAATCATAATAGTAAGAACCAAGTCAACTTGGCTACTAGCTGAACTGATAATCGATTAAACAACTGTCTTGAGTCTTGACTAGTCCAATAAAATGATTTATTCTTGATTTGTTTGATTATATGATTCAACTACGGTTTTGACCATTAACCCTTGAATCGGTATCTGGTCTAGTTTTCATGCTTTCTTGGAGGATCCAAATTTTGCAGTTATCTTTTGTCTCAATCACGTGATCAGACCGTATGTCCTCTGCAAGTCCAACGTATGTAACAGTGGAAAATAATAACAATGTTAAGAAACTGCACAAAATTCTCACTTTAAGAGAATTGTTTCGATGATGAAACACTTGCCAGATGATGGTGGTGAATTGAAGATTACCCTTTCTTGCCATTTATATTGCTTTCCCTCAACAATGGAAGTCTCTCCCCAACTAAAACCTTATATATAAGAAAAGTATATGTAGTGATGATGATAGAGATCAAACATATGAATCACGCCTTTTCTTGGTTATGGCTTCTGGGTTTCCTTTTCTCATCATTGCTACAAACTCTTCATAGTTTATCCTTCCGTCCTGTGCACACGTACAGTAAATTCATTTATAAACTTGTAATCCTTAAACTTTATCTCAATTGTCAATTTATTTCTTGAATTTTAACTTGATACTGTTTAGTCCTTATAGTTTATACAAGTTCAAAAATTATAGGAATTGGGTTGTACAAAGTTAAAAATTTATAAGAACTGGGTTGTTTCGAATCAAGAATATATAAAGAATGAAATGATAATTAAAAACAAGTTCATGGATTAAAAATTATGTCTTTCCTTCGTAAAATTTATAAGCCACAGAGTAATTTTCACAATCTTACAGGTATATGTCAAAAGATTTCAGATAACATCTACATATAATATTGAATTGACTTGTTTAATATTTTTTTTTTTTTTACAGAATCATTCAAGTTATAACTAAAGTTAAAGAGGATTGAAAGATTAACATCAGTACTACAAAATACTAAAATGCAAGTTATAGCTTTGGATCAAAAATAACAGTCAAGCTGCAAAATTTTGTGTGTCACTGTGTGATTAATTGAGTGATTATTAATTAAATGAAGGACGACTTACATGATCTGAGTCAATTTCTGAGATGATTTCTTTGATATCCCTGCCGTCATGCATGTTAAATTCCTTGAGAGCTTGTTCTAATTCTTCAATGGTAATGTACCTGATTTTGTACACCAATAAGTAGAGTTTGTAATACAACCTATATATCTATCTATATATATATATATAACGAAATTATTGTTCACAAGTTATGAATAGTGTGATTTATTATTGGACTCTATGGCATTGGGAATTTTACCCGCTGTTATCTTTATCAAAGTATTGGAAGGCAGTGTAGAGATGTTCTTCTTTGTTCATTCGGTTCATCTGCATTGTTGCTGTGATGAACTCGTCATAATCTATGGTTCCATTGCCATCTGCATCAGCCTGCAATTGTATATATTTTGTAAATCAAAAGGATATTATTCAATATAAAAAAGAGAGAGAGAAAAGAAGCTGCATTTTCTTAAAATTAATACATATATTAGCTATATTTTTCTAAAATTACACATACATCTTTTATTTTTAAAGTATGCACAAAGCTCTTTTAAAAAAAAAGAATGACATTAAAACACTAAAAGATTTTCTATCTCAAAACAAAAATTTGCAAATGAGGTTGGCTAGTTTATAATGAAAAATTAAACTTGTTAAACACACACACACATCATTACTTAGAAATCATTTTCTTTTACAAACTAACAAATCTTTTTTCCAAATTCATGTTTTAAGATTGTAAATAAGGATATGAAAGTAACAAATCAATGAAAATGGTGATAAATTTGACAAATTTTCATTTACCTCAAAAAATTTAGGAGGCTAGCTAGGGTTAAAATTTAAAAGAGAATTCATTTTGCTTTAAACAAAAAAGAAATTGTGAAGAAAATATAAGAAGAAAAAAGAGTTAACTTACAGCTTCCATCAGTTGTTTAACTTCTTGTTCAGAGAGCTTGGTTCCTTGTTTAGCAAGGCCTTGCTTGAGCTCTTCTACTGTAATGGTTCCACTTCCATCTGTGTCCATGTTCTTGAACATTTCCTTCAATCCCATTATTTCTTCCTCTGATAGGCACCCAGCAATCACCTGCTCAGATTATTTAATTAATTCATTAGGGAAAACAAGAGAACTTAAGAATAGTAATATAAATATATATATATATATATATATAATATATGTATACCCTCAAAGCAGCTTTTTTGAATTGGTTCATTGCTCTGAACTGTTTGAGTCTGTTGAGCACAGCATTGTCAAGAGGAGTATCAGGTGCTTCTCCATCCTCCTTAATCCATGGATGATCTGTTCAAATTAAAACCAGTTCAATCAAACCCTAATTGAAAGCTAATCATATATATATATATATATATTATATTTAAACTCACTTAGAACTTGGTAGGCTGTGAGCCTGGCCTTGGGATCAGAATTCAACATTTTCTTGACAAGATCTTTTGCTGATGGTGAGATGGACGGCCATGGATCGGCTGAGAAATCTACATGTCCTCTTAAGATTGCATTGAAGATGCCATGCTCAGATTCTGTCATATATAACACATCCCGTTTTTTTTTTTTTGGGGGGGGGGAATTAATGTTATCGATTGACATAAAATATAAAATCTTTTTGTTAATTAAGTTTTAAAGTAATTAAGAGCATATATATAGTTAAGAACTAATTAAGAAAGAATAATCAAGAGTATAAACCTGCCCAAAATGGAGGAACACCACAAAGAAGAATGTAGAGCATGACACCAATACTCCATATATCAACTTCTGGCCCATATTTCCTCTTCAATACTTCAGGAGCTATATAATATGCACTCCCAACAATATCTTTAAATGTCTCCCCTGTATAATCAATTTAAAAGAATGTTATTCAATAGTTCTTCTTGCTCTTGTAAATTTAAATAATTAAAATTTGCAAGAATAAAGTTTTCATAAACTAAAGTTAAGGTAAAAGTCAATTATTGTATTAAAAAGTAAGTTTAACAAAATAAAACTTGTTTGATTAATATAATTAAGAAGCATTATTTATTTGTAAATTCTAAAAAAATTAAAATAAATCGATAAATAATCACAAAAATTCAAAAGCCCAAAAAAAATCAGCTTCCACTCTAACCTTAAGTTTGAGCCCATAGTTAGTTTTGAACAATTTTGAATAATGAAGCTGTATTAAACCTAGCTATCCAGAAAATTTAGGTCACTCTTTTCCATCGTAGAAACAATCGTTACGTATTCCTTGCATTATTTTTCTTTCATGCATGAATCAAGATTAGTTTTCTCCCACTTTTCTTGTAATTAAAACCTAAAAACAAAATATCTCATGATCATGAAACTAGAAAAAAGAACACAGACGATACAAAAGCCCAGAGAGAGAGACCTTCTTTGAAGAAAACGGATAAACCGAAATCGGTGGCCTTGAGAGGGGAATCTTCGTTCTTGTTCAAGAGCAAGAAATTCTCGGGCTTCAGATCTCTATGAATCACTCCCATAGAATGACAAGTATGAACGATCTGCACTATCGTCCTCATCAACGACGCTGCCGCTCGCTCCGTATAATGACCTTTCTCGATTATCCGATCGAACAGTTCACCGCCGGCGCACAACTCCATCACCAGATGCACCGAATGCTTATCCTCAAACGCTCCTTTAAGCTCCACCACGTTCGGCTGTCCCGCCAAATGATGCATTATCTGAACCTCCCTCCTCACGTCCTCGATATCTTCTTTGTTCGCGAGCTTCCTCTTCGCGATCGTCTTGCACGCGTACTGTTGTCCGGTGGCCTTGTGCGTGCAAAGATGCGTCACTCCGAATTGTCCTCTTCCTAGCTCTTTTCCGATCGTGTACGTGGCCTTCACGTCCTCCATCGGACGCTGGAGGACTGGTCCCATCGGCCCAGGCTTACCGGCCTTGGACGGAGGAGGATTCGGTGCCGGGGATGATTTCACCGAGTTACTGCCACCACCTCCTCCTCCTTCTCCTCCCCCGCTGTTGTTATTGTTGCTGCCTCCTTGGGAATTGTTCAAGGATCCTCCCTTGGCAACATCGGCCGCTGAGCCGGTGGCTTCGGCCGGGGCATCGGTGTCGTTGCTCTGAGAGCAACAGTTGCCCATGGTGGGGGGAGGGAGAGATGAGAGAGAGGCAGGATGACGAGAGAGAGGAAGAGAAGTAATATAGGGTGGAAAAAGAAATGGTCATAAGGTTTGGCAAATATTATTGAGGCTACAAGGGGTTGGTGAAGACAGTGTATGTGTGTGATTGGACAATTGTACAAACAAACAAACAAAACCAAACCCCAAAAAAAAAAAGGTCAGGAAAATAAAATAATTTTTATATATAATAAATTAAAATTGGATTAAAAAAAACAGTTTTAGTCCAAGTGTGTGAAAAATGAGTGTGTGCATCTTGGGGTGTTTGTGGAATTAGGAAAGACAATGGGCTAATAATAGTGAGGTGAGATTTTAGGAGGCTTATATTAGAGGATGGTCATTGAAAGAGTCTTTGTCGTGTCTTTTAGGGCTTTATTCAGACAAAGGTGAAGAGGATTTTTCGGATAAGAGAAAATGATTAAGTAAAACACGGTTTGATATCACAAGGTTATCTATCATCCGTGAAAATAACAACAGATTATTCAAGTCCATACTTGTAACACAAGTATTGATTTTCTTCTAGTAAGAATAAAGAGATTCTTACTCAACCAACTAGGGGTGGGTCATAAGTCTAATAATAATAATAAAAAAACTAATTTTTTATAATATAATAAATCAAAATTTAAATCCTTATTAAAAGAGATATTCATGTTTAATTATGCTTCAAATAAGATTGCGTGCAATCTTACTCTGCAAGCTTGTGTTGTTGCATGCACTTATTCGGGCACAAAAATTGATCTCTTGCACAAATATTTTTTTCTTAACAGAAGATGGTTGAGTGATAAGAAACTCTCAAACATCCTTTAAATAAAATCTCTAGTTGAATTCTTGTAAATAAGAAAATGGGGTAATACAACTTTCAGTCATTTACATTTGTATGAGTTATCAATTTGGTATCTCAAGTTTAATTTTTATTGTTTCAGTCCTTAATGTTTACATCAATCTTCAAGTTAGTTCTCAAAATTTTATAGAACAAATTAGCCGTCACAATAAGCTGATATGTAAATCAAGTCGTTGATATGGAATATACACGTGGATCAATTAATACATATAAGATAAATTTTCAATTACTGATTATTGCTAATGTGTATTGATTTTTTATTTCCTATTTTCCAAATTGTAAGTTATACGTTATTTGGGATTAACAATAGCAGCAAATTAAGGTGTGCAATGGTGAACACTAAATTGTCAAAGTGAGATGACGATGAGATATTTGTGCGCAAATGCTCTTCTTCCTTCTTTTTCTTCGTGCCCCAGTAGACCTTGATGGAGATAGGTGATGCAGTGTTTGGTTTTGTAATTTTTGAAAGGCTGAATATGTTGCTTTTCTTATTGTTTTATCCACATCAGCATTCCTATTTCTTACAATATTAATCTATATAGCTGTCACATCATCATATCGTTAGCCATGTCAGAAAAATTTAACCGTGTTAATTTCTCACATAACATTAAGGACTTTTTAAATAAATATATAAAACGTTAAGAATTAAAATGATAAAAATTAAATTTAAAGGATCACATTAATAATTCATGCAAATGTAAAGGATTAAAAATTACATTTTTATAAGAAAATTTATGTTGAGAATTTCCTATTGCTATAGACCCTACCTTAAATCTCTTTGTTACCAAAAATAGAATAATCTTTTAGCGTCACAGGACTTTTCCTTTTCAAATAACCATGTTGAAAATAATTATAGAAAGAGTTGGTAGAAAATTTTTCTCAACAAGATCGCACACTCAGTAATGTTGTTAATCCGATTTGATTTATTACTTCTTATGAAGCCATAAAATCAGAGTAGTAGTCTAACACATTAAAAAATGAACAGAATCAATTTTCTTGAGTGAATTGTGGACGAAATTAGAGTTGAGAGGAAGTTAAGCCTCCATCAACCAGGTCACGTCTAAAACTTGTTTATAAACACTTAAACAAGCCAGACTTGAATTTTTAAAACCTAGCCTAGCCTGTTTAGGTATATTTATACATTTTAATACTTAAATTATATTTTATTTTATATATTTAAATTTTATCCTGTAATTAATTTTTTATCCAAGAATAATTAATTTCATTTTCTTCCACCCTAAATTTTAATTTTTGTAATTTTGCAACATGTAACTCTTTAAAATATATTTTATTCAGATTTATTATAAGTTTTATTCATTTTGATTATATATAGGCTTTAAATAGGCTTTAAGCCTTTAAGCCTATTCAAAATCCGAAACATGTAGACTTTGAAGCTTACATAAAAATACAAGTTTTGGTAGGTTTGAGGTTTACTTAAAGACTTTGAGACTTAAATTTAAAAATCTTTTTAAATGCCTACATATAAAGTAGGCCTTCCCAAGCCTACTACGAACTCAAGGTTACGTCTATGAAAAAGCATGCATACAGCCTTAAGCTTGGGTAAAACTTGAGGCTTGTATTACAGGCTCAAGCTTGTTTGATGAAAGCCTAACTTGTCCTATTCCCACTCCTACCATAATTAGCCACATCTACGTGAGGCTGTTTGATTAATAGAAAGGATGAGAATTGACTGAATTAAATTAAATAGCAAAACAAAAATAAAGTACAAAAATGGATTTCGCGTTATATGTACTATAAAATGTCTGGACTTGAAATGCATCAGAACTCAGCATGGCCAGTAAATGAGAATAAACAATGTAGAATATATGAAAATTACAGCCTCATATTCCAAAGTTTCACTACTTGCCTCAAATTATTGTTTGAAATCCCAAAAATAATCTACACTAATGACCTTTTCTCCCAACAAAATCTTGCCATCAAGTATACAAACATGGAATATCATGCAGGCAGTAATCTATTGTATGAAAATATTCTGGGAAGGGGACCAAAAAAATAAATTAGTAAGTAGGGACTGATGGATCAACCTTCACAGCATATGCATGGATTCCCCCGGATATATTGTATACTCTTCTAAATCCCTAAAACACAAACATCAAAACAGTCAGAAAGAGAAGCGGAGTCTCAGTCCAGTAGTGCCTTTCAAAGATTGGAGAAATTCTTGCAAAGACTAGGTGTACAACGTCATCCATACCCTATCCAATAAAAATATATCATGTCATATGGCTGCAAATATGAATTGATTCTGCCATTAATGATAATAGCCATCATTGGCAAAATCAATTTATATTTACAACCATCTCACATGACATATTTTTATTGGATAAAGCATGAATGATGTGGTGCACCTAGTCCGTGCAAGAATCTCTCAAAGATTGATGCATTAAAAGTTCACATTACCAACAGTAATAATGAAAAGTAAAAGAAAATTGATAATTCACAGAAAACACTGTAGCCTTGTTTGGTAAGGAAAGGACGTGTAGAAGTAATTTTTTTTTTTAAATATTTCTCATATCCTCGTTATTATTATTCAAGATTGTTTATGTTGTTCATTACATTTGAAAATAACGTCGTCATAATAATTTTCTAAACAAAAAAAAAATGTTTTTCCCTTTCATTTCTTTTTCATTGTGTGCCAAATGAGCTCTATATGATAGGAAGTTTGATTAGGAGATTTTTGGTGTATCTCCATTGAATAGTAGATATTGAAAATCATTCAGGGACTTCCTTTCATCAAGCAAGAACCATTTTTTTTTTTTAAATATTTGTAGATCACATTCTCTGCCTTGAGAACAGAAGAATTTTTCCTGCACTAAATCATAGAAGAAAATCAACAATTATACGAGTGACTCAGGACTCTGTAGTTAGATCCTGATGTAAATGAACGACCTTGAAAGAAATTAAGAAACCAAAACATAAGGGAGAAACTGTTTAAAGCTGGGCTACAAGAGAAGCCATTGTAAATTGTAATTTGTACCTGTGACTGCAGCCACTTGGCAACTTGCAAGGACCGCATGCCATGATGACACTGCATTTCCAAAGTTTAGTTACTGAATACTTTGACAAATAGAATTGCACAACGAAACACAGACTTGTTAGAAACTGCCAAAACATTGGATTGCAGGATGCTATTGCTAAGCATTCCTTTTAGTCAAAATATCAAAGCATTCAACAAAAGTCTATAAATTCAGTTTGAAGCCAATCGAACACGATATAAATGAATATACACAGTAATAAGATGAGGAATCATCAACTGGCAGTCGACATGGAAAATGGTCAACCTGGGCTTGCGATAAATAAGTGGAGAAAAACCTGTAGAAATTCATATTCTAACCAATACTTTAGACAACACGTAAAAGACAATTCAGTGCCCAAGTAACATAGGCACAAGCATTAGTACAGGTGCAGGTAAACAGGCATGGGTTACATTAATATTTCCAGAATATAGGGTAAAGGTACTAAATAAATAATGAAACCTAAAGTTCAGGTAACTCAAAGTCAACTCAATATTGTTTCCTCAAAACTTTTAGGATAATTTTTTTTTTTTTTTGGTTTACCTTTTTGGATACAAGAAACCTCTACCCATACCCCACCCCAACTTTACCACCTGAGCTAGTCTCAGGTGGCTATTAGGATAATAATATTTAATTTAAAGAACACAACAATATTAATTCAAATTCAAATTGGAAATTCAATTTAAAGAACAAGAAAAAGTACTGCAAGGCTGGTTTTCCAGCTACCTCTTGGGAAAAACATCATGTTAAGATAGATAAGTTGTACTCACCAAAACATATGTATCCTTGTTAGGATCAAATGTGGTAGTGATATCAGGTCCCCAATTTCCAAATTGTCGGAGGGGAAGAACCTTAAAACCTGGCAGAGATGCTTTCTCCCTGTATAAAAGGAATGTATCAAGAAGTGGTAGAAAAGCAGACATAAGCTATTAATGTAAATGGAACAGCCTGACAGGAGGACATCGAGAAAACTAAAGAAGGAGAAAAATAGACAGAACACAGTGGAAGAGCCTCTACATGAATATCACACAGACCTACCACCCCGTTTTCCACAGTATGCTTAAATAATAGTGTTAATGCTGAAATGCTCTCAATACTTTCACTTAAAGAGCACATCAACTTCTCAGTTTCTTTATTCAAG